GTGGCGAGCCTTGCACGTGAGAGGCACAGTGGAGGTGGAGTTCAAAGAAGAATGAGAAATTTAATGGTTTCAATCTGCCCTTGTTTTTTCTTTTTGTTTTTCTTTTTATTTTTATTTTTGCATGTTATCACTGTGCCCGTTTTTTGCTTTTATTCGTTGTTCCGCAAAGTGCGCTCTTTTAGTTTGTAGTGATGTGACAATATATACACAGCATATATATATATACTCTTATTGAAGTATAAGCCGGGTCTCGTGTGATGCTCCCGTGAACCCAGGCTTACACTCTTGGCAAACTGTGTTTCCCTCTTGAGCCCGCCGGGATGTGTGGGCCACATGGGTTGGAGGGTTTGCAAATCCGCCGCCGCATGTTTGAACAAACGTACACAGCGGCAGGAGGCTTTGCCCTCAGGCGTGTGATTTCGTTGTTGCCACTGCATTGCACAGCGTTTCTTTCTTTGAAAAAAAAAAAAAAAGGTAAGCTATATTCTTCTCTCATCTATTTCATCTTTCTTCATCTTTACGCATCTATCTAATCCTCTCACTAGTCTATGTATCGTACGGGGGAACACCAACCAACCCGGATCTCTCCCCAGGCCCAGGGGTAGGTTGGCACCACAGCTGTGGTGCGAGAGCAAGGCTGTACCAGTCCCTCATCACGGTGACGAGAGGCTGGCAGGCATTGCCGATGGGGGAAATCGGCGGTGCTAGCGTCGAGCAATGGCCAGTCACTGCACCTCCCCCTACACCCACCCCCCCAACCCCACATAGCAGTGTCTAATGGCCAATATTGTCGCTGCATAGCAGACAACAACATCAGCCAAGGTCCTGCCAATGCTGGCTTGGGGGGCCAACGGGTTATCTCTAGCTGGTAGAACACCAAGCTTGCCCAGGCACATACATGAGGCCAATGGGGATTGAACCCACGTCCTCCTGAATGCAACTTCTGTGCCTTGCCAACTGAGTTAGGCCCGCAGGCCTTTGTTTTCCTTTTTTGTTGTATGAAAGGTCCCCTCAAACATGGGAAGATGCAGCGCCATTTTTTTATGGACACTGCATATTGTTTGGCTTTTTCAGTTTTTGTCATTTCTTCCAGCTGCATCTTCCCATGTATTAAAGATAGATTCATTATCAATGTGCACATTTCGGGAGTATTTTTATTTATTTTTATTTATTTTATATTTATTATTTTTAAAAAAAATATATATTTATTTATTTATTTTTATAAAGAAAAAAGGTATATTCTTCTCTCATCTATCTCATTTTTCTTGCTAGTACTCATCTATCTCATCCTCTGCTAGCGCCGAGCAATGGCCAGTCACTGCACCTCCCCCTACCTCCCCCCAAACCCCACATGGCGGTGTCTAATGGCCAATATGGTAGCTGCATAGCAACCAACAACATCAACCAAGGTCCTGCCAATGCTGGCTTGGGGAGCCAACGGGTTATCTCTAGCTGGTAGAACACCAAGCTTGCCCAGGCACGTACGTGAGGCCAGGCCCGAAAAAAAAAACACGGTGTGGCAGTGGTCGCAGAAAACGACAAAAACAGAAACATAAAAAGTGAAATGACGTCATAAGGGCCTGGCTCCACGGCTCTCCACATGCACAAAAGACGAAAAATATGGCGGTGTATCGGGGCATGTTCTGGCGGATTAATTGTCCTTTTTGTGCATGTGGAGAGTCCAGCCAAGCTGAGGATGTCTCTGGAAGGGCCATGGCCGTGAGATGTAGGGCCTCGCTCCACTACTCACCAAATGTGCAAAATGAGAACGAACCTTCTGCTAGAAGTGCCCAGATACACCGCCATATCTTTAGTCTGTGCCTGTAAGTTTCGAGCGGAGACGAAACTTCGTAGTAATAAAATAAATGTGTTTTGTGCATGCTGTGAGTACTTGTACATTACCGTTTTTTTTTTTTTTTTTTTTTTTTTTTTT